ATTATTTTTCTTAAAAAAAGGGAAACAGTCTTAAATGTAATTATTGTGCTTTATTTCACACCAGAACCATAACCATAACACAAACTTTTAAACAATGAGAACAATAAATAAAATAAATGACAAGAATTCGTATTAAATAAAATTAATACATTTCTCACAGACAGGCCTCATGGTGCCCGTAGGCTTGCCCTCACTGTCAGAGATATAGCTCAAATACATCGCTTCTGGCGTCTTTTTTCTCAACAAGCCGAGGCGCAGCAGCAGTTGTACTCCCACTTGCAGCCATGCTTCTGGTTTTCTCACATGCTCTGGCAGCTAGCGCGTGCACGAGAGAGGGGAGGGACTTAGAGCGTGCTTGAGAGGGGAGGGACTTTGAGCGTGCTTGAGAAGGGAGGGGCTGCAGGCACGGCTGCAGTGCAGGGAGTGGAAGCAGAGCGCTGAAAACACACGGCTCTTATTAAAACGGCGCTTTCTCACCGGAGTACTTTTCCCCGTCATTCTTAAAGTACCGATACTAATGAAACGGAGGAATCGTAACGTTTTTAACGGCAGGGTATCGCGGTATACCTTTCAAGTATCGGTACACCATGCAACACTAGTCAGGAGTCAGTGTCTCTCCCCCAAACTCACACATATAAAATTCGATATGAACTGAAGAGCCGCATGAAACTAGGCAAAGAGCCGCATGCGGCTCGAGAGCCGCGGGTTGGCCACCCCTGCCTTAGCCTTTCCCTATGCAATACTTTAGATTACATCTGGTTCTTATTGTTTCAAAGGCATGGCCAAAGGTTTGCCTTCTGGACTCTGGAGGCCAGAAGCTTGCTGGAGGGAACCCTTCAGCCAGTGTTCAGAGTGCCACGACAGAGTGCCAGAATGGATATCTCCCAGGAGAAGGTGGCCATTGGCATATTCCAGGCATGTATTTACAATTGCTTTAGTTTTGACAGTAGAGACAATAACAATAGAGACCTAAAATAATATTGAGCTTGAAAGGATTTCGTATTAAGTCGTGTTTTATATCTACAGCTGCCTGAAGGCATAATCTGGAGGATCCTTGGGTTTGTCGTTCTTGAGGATGGTGATCCTGCAATCTGCACGCTAGCCCTTACCTGCAAGAACTTGAACTACATCGTGAGCCAGTGGTCATTCCAAAAGGAAACCCACTTCAACTGGCTTGACAGTAAGTTTATTAAGTGTCTTTACTTCTGCCTTCTCCTATCCTAGTATTATGAGCAGGGGTGCACATAACTTTTTTGCCCTGGTTCTCAAAGGAGCACCTGGAGATGTTTCTTGGTGCTCATCCTTAAAATGAAATAAACCGTAACTTTTGAGGGAGTCTTTATTTGCCAGACACACGGCGCTGAACACACATGCAGAGGTGAACACAGAACACACATGCAGAGGTGAACACAGAACACACATGCAGAGGTGAACACAAGACAACATTAGCACGACCAGTAATCCTACAAGCTGTCATCACTACCCTCCTGACTGTTCTCCTCACTGTCTTCCTCTCTGTCAGACATGGTAGCTGATGATGTAGGCCTACTTCTTTCTCTCTGGTTGAGTCTGTGATTAGCTGCTTGCATCCACAAGTCAACAGCTGGGTTTGGGTCGAAAGTCTCTGTTGTCATCTTAGACAAGTGGATGTAATCAAATAAGTATGTGAACATAACCAATAACCTACCATAGCCAATAATAAATGAATGTAACTTATTTTATTTGTGTTGTTCATTCATATCTTATTTTACCTTAACATTTATTTATGCATTTTTTTTTTTTATCTCCTTGGAAATATGTGTTTACATAAATTGTGATCAAAACGTTTGAGACCCACTGAGATAACTTAGACTAAAATGAACTATCTAAACACTCAAGAGTCCTTTACCTCACTGAGCTGTAGTCATCAGCCTCAGTCTGACTGGAGAGGACTCTCCCTCCACATCATTGTAGAAACATCTTCTTCTTCTTCCGTTAGAGCAGCTAGCACCAGATGCTAATAACAACAGCGCCGGTACCGGTGCACCCTCCCTCTCTCCCTCGCTCACTCGCACTTTGGCTGTGAGCTGCGGGTGCCAGATAAGCCAACATCCCCCATTATCATCACTTACAGCGCCCATCATACAGGGCAAATTAAACGTGTAACCGGGGTGAAAAGCGTGTTACATTTACTAAATTATGAATATTGTTACATCAAGGCCGAAAATTAGGATGAGCACCAACGGTCACAAATGTTTTCTTCCCTCCCAGAACTGCCAGCGCAGCGCCTCCACAGATCTGGCGCCCTAGGCGAACATCTATAATGCGGCTACGGGCCGGCCCTGAGTTCATATCATATCATGCAACTCGCAAATATATTTCTCTCTCTCTCTTCTCTCTCTCCTCTCTTTTCTCTTCTCTCTCCCTCTCCCTCTCTTTCAATGTTGGTACGCAAATGCGCCTTTTTTCAAATGACCCGGTGCTCTTTTTTCGGCGGAGGTGCGCATGCGCACCTGCGCACCAGTTATGTGCACCCCTGATTATGAGTTTGATTGACTAAGAGTAAGGTCAACTAAATTAAGGTTGTTCTTTTTCTGTCTGAATTGTAATTGTCTTATGACATTTTACTTCAGGTGTCGTCAACTGGAATCTCTTAACAGAGGGACACAAAAGGGAATTCAGGAAGACCTACCACATTTCCAGGTGCTTTCACTGTGACGACCATTATAAGGACGTCGGCACAGGCTACCGGGGATGTGGACGGCGAGGAATCTTGCAGGGAAATTGTGCCCAATGAATAAAATGTGATTCTGCACTGGAATGCCTCTTGGTCAAACTGCATGTTTATCTTCGTCAGCCAGGTGCATAAACACACTAACACTTGTTTTTGTTTTTGAAAGTTGAAAGTAATTGCAAAAGATTTGGGGATATGGACAACGTTTGACTGTTTATTATTTTAGCAAACTACATACAATAAATACATTTTTAAACACTGAGTATGTAGCCTAATGAGACATGGCTTACTCTGCAGAGGGGACTTGTGGACATTTAACTGTTATTTATCAGGAAATAGGTAGGCAAGTTTACTTGAATTTGGGGTATTGTGTAGTTAGGTTTGATGACTGAAATGTAGTTTTAGGGTTGAGCCATCCCTTCAGCAATTTCCTTTTAGCAAACCGTTCCTAAACTGTTTCCTTTATCAACGCCCAAAAGGGAGAAATGTTTTGAGGTTAATGGTAAGAGCACAATACATGAAGATGATCCAAGTTGACCACATATTCAGTTTGGCAGTTCTGTATTAAGGTCATGTTTCTCGGGTTGTAAACAAAAGCAGTTATCTAGTGCATCCAGAGTGCCCTTACCATGATATTTAGCAGACGTTTTTATCCAAAGCGACTTGCTACTTATTTGATTGCACTTATGCAAAACACATTTGCGTCAGTCTCATAAATTCTGAACAAAATGTGTGGATGTAAATAATGTAAGGGAACATACATGCACACGTCTATGTTGTCTACCGACAAATTGACATGTCACATCACATGGAATGTAGACACAAATCGGAAGAATAATATCGCAAAAACAAAACCATAAATGGTAATTTATTAATGTACATACCTTAATTAAAGTAACCATTTTAACCTTTTCCGAGACTACATTGTCTCTTATTTAACTTCCTCCTGGACGCGAGAACAACAAACACAAATCAACAGTATCATATCTGGAAACATGGTCAAGATACCTACTACCCACTATATAAATAACGATGCAATAATAACTATAACGTATTCAGTGAATACAAATACACTTTTCTACTGCATGTAAGTGACACCCATACCAACTAATTCATTTTCTACCCAGACTGTTCCACAAGGTGTGTAGGGAGGAGTATGGCACGCAAACAGGTCCCACCATGTTGGCAGCACTCAAGCTTCAAGTGGAGATTTACAACAATAAGTGTAACGACACCTGTGCTCTCCTGGGAACAACTTCCCAGGGAGCTCCTCTTGTGGTTGTGTGTTCTCCACTGATGAAGAAAGTGCACCAACTGAAGCACAGTGGGGAGCTGTGCTTCATAGATTCCTCAGGGAATATGGACAGCGAGAACTACAGGGTATTCCTCCTCCTGACCCACAGCTGTGCAGGTGGCCTCCCTCTGCCAGTCTGAGGATGAGCAGGCTATTGCTCAAGGGCTGGAACAGCTAAAACAAGTTGTTGGAGAGAAGGGCTTTGCTGGCAGGGGACACGAAGGGCCACAACTGGTCATCACAGATGACTGTAGAGAGGCAGAGAGGGGAGCTCTGGGAAAAGCATTTCCTAAGGCCACACTTCTCCTGTGCTCCTTCCATCTGCTACAAGCAGTTTTGGAGGTGGCTGTGGAACAAGGAGAGTGACCGGCACGGAGACAGACCGGCACTCATTGTAAAAGGGATGCTTTACTGTCAGGAGATAGGCAGTGTGGATAGGCTTTACAGCGAGGCAAGAGGGCATCCAGTTGCAGACAAGTTAGTGATGTTGTGTTTAGCCATATGAGAGAAATGTACGTATTCTTATCAAATAACATCCAACACCCAATGTAATGAAGTGATTAAGCTTTACTGTTTAGATCATTTGTTATTATTTAAAGATTTTTTGTTTCTTTTTTTAACCAATTGCAGGTATGAAAAGTTCCTCAGGTACTTGGACCGGCTGTACGCCAAAAGAGAGTGTTGGGCCCTCAGTTATAGAGGCAGTTTCCTCACCAGAGGAAACAATACCAATAATTTTGCTGAAGCTGCAATGTGTGTCCTCAAAGACAAAATACTGTAGAGGACAAAGGCCTTCAACATTCCTCAGCGGTTTGATCTGCTGACCTATAGAGTGGCGAAGTCACGTCCATCTACTTCCGGTTCATGGGACCTTATTTCGGAAGAATTATGTATTGAAGTCAATGGAGAGAGACAACTTATGGGAGAAATGCTAACGCTAACGCTACATTAGCATCGGCGATCTTTTCTACTTCATGCTATCTGCACAAATGGTTGACATTAAACATTAAAAAGACCAGGCAGTTCAGAGAGAATCAAAGGAAGGCAGGCAGGCAGCTTTGCTTGACATTCTCCTGGGCGTGTTTCATGGTGGTAATAGTGAGGGTAGGCAATCCTTTTGTTGACAAGACAGCAGTGATGGCCATCTTGGTGACGTGTGTTGTTCTGCGAGACCAGAGTTGTAGTTCATTGAGCGTTTCACACAAACAAATGTGTTACTTCACAGTTTTACGACACATTTTTTTTTTTGACTTGCAAAATTATCTTTTAAATTGACAAACATCATATGTGTAATTCGTGGCACAATTCAAACGGGATCGAAAGATAATCTTTCTCTCTCCATTGACTTCAATACATACTTTTTCCAAAATAAGGTCCCATGGAGGTCCACCGGAAGGGGAGGGACTTCGCCTCTCTATTATGAGGCACGCATCGTTGATGTTGCCCTTGGACGCTGGGAATCATTCCAGCGAGCAAAATTCCTCCCACGATGGCAACATTGCAGCATCGCGTATTCAGCAGGTAATGGATATAACAGCTGAAAAAACATAACATGCTATAGGTTTATCACTACAGAATCAATACGCACATATGTCACTTGTGTAACAAATACATTTATCCTTGTTTGACGTGTGATTTTGCAGATTGAGATCAAGAAGTTTGTGGTGAAGGGACCTACCCAAACGTATGATGTAGACATGGATTTGGAGCTGTGTTCTTGCCCTCCAGGACAAACAGGAGCGCCTTGTAAACACCAGTTTGCAGTGATGAAACATTACAGCTGTTTGTCACACTCTTTTCTACCGATAAACCCAGAGATGAGAGCAGAGCTGATGAAACTGACCTCGGCAGGTAAAGTCAATATTTTAACTGGTGTAATGAGACTGCCAACATTTCATATTTTGATTACAAAATAAGGGATATACACTGTTTATTTTTATATTAATGTTGATCCCTTAATGTTTTATAGAAACCATCTCTTTGGATTTCCTCCAACCCCTCTGACTTGCGAGGCAATCATGTCAGTCGTTTAGAAGTAGGGTGAGTTGCCCTAATGTGGGACACGCCCTAATGTGGGACACCTAAGCTCAAATGGGTATAGGTCTTCCGCAAACAAATGAGTCAATTAAATTATGGGTAAACACAAGCTGTGATGTCATGCGATCAAAATCACATGACTTCTCAAATGTCCAATCACAGATGAGGGTGGAGCAACCTTCAACAGGAAGTACCCTGTGTGAAGACCACCCAAAGGTCAGTGACATAGTGTTTTGACAAATGTAATGTTAAGGTTTTAAATTTCGTTTGAATAAAACAATCTTGCAAGTTTTTATCAGGATGTGTTTGTTCATTAGAAAATATTATAATATGGTGTAAATATACTCTATTTGTTATTTCAATCAAATGTTCCATCGTCCCACTTTAGGAAACATGTTTCGCAAAGTGGGACAGTATGATTTGCCTAATGTGGGACAGGTCTAAAAGCACTTCAGTTAGGCAAACATGTGTGGAGGGGCATGGATTGTGCAAGAGCAATGGTTATTTACAGGGTTTTAGTCTTCTAATTAGGGCTTTCAGTCAATTAAAATATTTAATCGCGATTAATCGCATGATTGTCCATAGTTAATCGCGATTAATCGCAAATTAATCGCACATTTTTGATCTGTTTTAAATGTACCTTAGAGGAATATTTTTCAAGTTTTGAATACTCTTATCAACATATGAGTGGACAAATATGCTTTATGCTAATGTTTATTATCATTTGAACAATGACAAATATTCTCATGAATATTAAACACAACAACGTGTGTGTGTGTGTGTGTGTGTGTGTGTGTGTGTGTGTGTGTGTGTGTGTGTGTGTGTGTGTGTGTGTGTGTGTGTGTGTGTGTGTGTGTGTGTGTGTGTGTGTGTGTGTGTGTGTGGGTGTGTGGGTGTGTGTGATGGATGGATCGTTGGAGCTATGTGCAACTCAAGGCATATGCTCGAACGGGAGCTGCCTGGACGCTGCAATCATGTTGCGCACTATCCGTGCTGAGTGTGCTGACTTTTCGTACAATGTCCCACTGTCTGGCTTCCTGCATAAAGTCAAGTGCTCGGCGCAGTTGTGGCGAAATGTCGCTCCTCTGTTTTCATTTAAACAGCTCCATATCCGTTAGCGCAGCTAGCTAGCACCAGATGCTAACAACAACAATGCACGTAAGGTCTCTCTCTCGCTCGCTCGGGCCACACATACACACACCCTCCCGGTCCTCCCAACAGCCAGTCGGTGCCTGCCGGTGAGCGTGGAAGTGTGGTCTGCCACAAGCGGGCGGCAGGAGCGGGGCTGTCAGCATCAGCTTGCTTGTAGATGGTATTTTAAACTCGATGCGCTCTGAAACTACGGGGCAGCCGAGGACAAAAAATACACATGCGTTAATCGCGTTAAAATAATTAGTGGCGTTCATTTTTTTTTGCGTTAACGCGTTATTAACGCGTTAACTTTACACCCCTACTTCTAATGCATTATTTTAGATATTTAAGGTGAAGGGCAAATTATATTAAATAATTGGGGGTGGCTGCATCTCTGTTAAAATACAGGGTTCGTACAGGTGCTTGAAATCCTTGAAAATGCTTGAAATTTGACGTGATGTTTTCAAGGTTGGGAAAGTGCTTGAATTTTGGGAATGGTGCTTGAAATTGAGATAAAGTGCTTGAAAATGTAAATGCCTTCCCGTGCTATGCGCGCGACCTGCAAGTGTTTGTGTTACGTGTGACCTGGGCATTCTGATGAGAGTGATAGATGACTGTGTGCCAGGAGGTTGCAGTTTCAACGAGCGTTGGCTAGCAGAAGACAAATACAAGCCATGGCTAAGACGAGGGTCAAGCCCACGAGTAGTAGTGTAGTGGACATTTTATTATATCCTGATATGTTTAAACCAAATGCTTCTCATTTGGTTAGATGTGCTGTTTTCCTCTATCTACTCTACTTCAAGGCCACAGAGCTGTTTTGGCTACTGGGTTGAGACTCACACAAAGTCACACGAGAACTTCTACAGCTCAAGGCCAGGTGTCTAATAACAATGTGACCGTGTGAAGACAGATTTCTTACCTTCCCACCCCTTATTGGATATAAGCCTTTTTACTCTATTGAACTGCGCACACTCGCGCAGACATATTTTATACTCTGTGAGACCTGTGTCTATATTTTATTGTATCTAATGTTTGTTTGAGGCCTCGAATAAACATCACCAGAAAGACAACTCTGTCTGATTCACCATTTATTTGTTTTAATCACTCTGACTTGTACTCTACAGTATTGGGGTTTTTAGATTTCCATAACAGTAGCCTCCTGCAAAGTTTGCAACATAACGATGAGAGAGTCTGCGCTGACGAGCCACATGAAAGGTACGCCGTAGTAGAGCATTTTAGATTAGGCTAACGTTGCATGTTACGTTTGTTTAAGCTAACGTTAGCGAGCTGAATAGCGAACTCGATTGAGGGATAATAATAATTGCAGGGGACAATCATTTCAGAGGAGCGTACCTATGTTATGTGCATTACAGTCGCCATCCTGTGGTGTTCAGAGGATGAAGCACTCACGGCATTTCGTGTTATAGTCACGAAATATAATCTATTGATTCGACACAGAGCGATTTTGAAAGCAATGTATTTCTACTGGTAGTATGTTTCGTGCCTAAACCAAATGTGACTTGATCTATCGAAATCAGTCACATTGACCCGAAGACACATTTTCTTTTGTATTACTGGTCTGGGGGAAGCTCGCGAGTGTGTTTGTGTATTTTTGCGTTTGTGTACCGGGGAAACACTCACAAGAAACACCGGCTGTTGTTATGCTTGCTGTGATGTTACATTAGTCCGTTCTCTGCTTGTAATTATGCCGAAGCTTCAAAGTTGTATTTATCATCTACATTTGCCGAAACAAGTTTAATATTCTGAAAGCCAATACTTTGTTTATTTGAAAACATGAAAACAAACTGTCTTTTATATAAAATTGAAGTATTATACAAGTAAAACTACATTTTGCTTTAATCCCATGTAATAGTAGAATGAACACAGTCTTCCTTTGAAGATGTCTAAGTCAGGTGTCTTGAGTAGTCAAAATTACCTACAAATCATTGTACACATTTGTACATATTATTTTCCACTTGTTACCATTGTGAGTCTATTTTTATGCAGCTCTGCGTGATTTTGTGGCTACAATTCAGGCTAATACACTACCAGAGGTGGAATAAGTACTCAGATATTGTACTTGAGTAAAAGTACAAGTACTCAGATCTTGTAGTGAAATTATAAGTACTCAGATCTTGTACTTGAGTAAAAGTAGAAGTACTCATGTCTTGTACTTGAGTAAAAGTTGAAGTACTCAGATCTTGTACTTGAGTAAAAGTAGAAGTACCAGAGTGTAGGAATACTCTGTTACAGTAAAAGTCCTGCATTCAAAATGTTCCTCAAGTAAAAGTAGAAAAGTATTCTCATCAAAATATAGTGAAAGTAGCGACAGTAAAAGTAGTCATTGTGCAGATTGGTCCATTTCAGAATAATATATATATATGTTTTATAATGATTGATCATGAAAGTGTTCTCAAAGCTGGTAAAGGTGCAGCTAGTTTGAATGACTTTGTATACTGCAGGGTAGCTTGTGGATTTACTCCAGGTGGAACTAAAGTCAGATTTCACATCATTCATCCAGATCTGTGAAGTAACTAAAGGGATTAAATACATATAGTGGAGGAAAAGTACACCATGTACCTCTGACTTATGTTCACTTCCAACCTAAAAGTACCTCAAAAATAGTAATCAATAATGTATTGAAAAGTTATTTCGCTGATTGTTTTATATTGGCTCAGACAGGTTATATGGGAGGCCTAGTCTACGTACAGATCACTCATTTTGAAATATTAAACTTATTTTCTTTAATTTCTCATCCTCATGTAGAATGCTATCACGAAACACACATTTGGTTGTTTATAGCACAAAGAACATCTGATATAATGTGAGGTAGGGAAATAATCATTTGAGTATGTGTATATAAATATGTAATTTACAACAGCTGTAAGATGCTTGAAAAGCTGGAAAATACACCTTGAAAATGCTTGAAAAGTGCTTGAATTTGACTTTGGAAAAGGTGTAAGAACCCTGAAAATAGTATGACAAAGTCAGGGATAATGTAAGGGATAAATGTCTGAGTTTAGAAGATGGCAATGAATTTAAGCCCAAATATTCATAGTAATTTAATAACTCCTACCAACACACGGCAAAGGGTCAACAGGTCATGGTAGTGAGTTGTTACAGACAGCTGTCAAAGACTCCTTGTCTTCACTAGCAAATATTTTATCACAACTAGACTACAAGGAAATAGTGCTACTTGGAGATTTTAACTGGGACTGGTTAACTGCAGTGTCAGAGGATTTAAAAAACCTTTGTATCTCTTTGAATGTTACTCAGATTGTTGACAGTCCTACTCGCCCTAACATTAAGTCCCCTAATAAATCCTCCCTAATTGATCTCATTTTAACTAATGTTCTCCATAAATATTCATCTGTGGGAATATTTGCGAATGATGTGTGACCACTGTGTTGTAGCCACAATTAGGGACACTAAGGTCCAAAAGGTTAAACCTCGTATTATTATTAAGAGAGACAAAAAACATTTTGTGGAGCAGGGTTTTGTTCATGATCTGTTTGGGTTTGATTGGGGAAAAATCGATCTGTGTGCTGATGTAGAAACTGCATGGTCTTATTTTTATCTTGGTTTTATGGAGATCATTGATAGATATGCACCCCTGCGTACATTTAGAGTAAAGGGACGAGACAATCCTTGGTTCTCTGCTGAACTGTCTAGTCTCCTTCATGAGAGAAACAAGGCCTGGGCAAAGGCTAGGAAATCAGGCTCAGAGGTAGAATGGCTGCGTTTTAGGCAGCTAAGGAATAGCTTCACTTCACATGTCAAAAGTGCTAAATCAAAGTACTATTTGTCAGTAACCACAAAGAATCTGAATAATCCTGGAAAATTTTGGAAAGCCATTAAATCGTTATCCACCGGCGATATCCGTAATGAGCTACCTGCGTGCATTACCACAGCATCTGGCACTATATCGGACAGGGCCACTATGTTAAATTGCTTTAATGAGCATTTTGTGTCCTGTGGCTCTCTGTTTCATTCTGTTTCTAACTCTGCTTCTGTGAACACCACAGTATGTGACTCTGAAAAACGTGTGTTGGAAAACCCTTTTAGTTTTACCCCTTTTACTGTTGATGTTGTTCATGAAGCTTTAACCAAGTTAGATCCTAAGAAACCGGCTGGCCTGGACAACGTAGAGCCTTTCTTTTTAAAGATAGCTGCAGAATTTATTGCTCCACCTCTCACTAATGTAGTTCAGCGTAAGTTCAATCAGGAAGACAACATCATCGGGTGTCACACGTTATTTCAATAAGTGATCAGGGGCATTACGCCCCGGCTAGCCAATCATTGCACCTGCTAACCTCTTTAAATCTGCTCTCCCCTTCCTGTCAGTTGTCATTTCAGGTGTCAACGCACAAGCAGCAGCAGGGCTTCGTCCCAGCTCCAGGCATTATTCATCAGCTCCGCAGTTTTGCAGATTAAGCTACAGGCGGCG